ACGATATCGATCGACGAATCCACCATCTTGCTCGATCTCAGTATAGCAGATTAAAGGAAAATGGGAACAGGGATAAAGACCGATGATCGGAGGAACTTCATCGGCGAAGTTTACTTTTATCGGGAGCAACGTGGGATTGAATTTCAATGTTATTACGGATAAAGAGAACACTATCGCAATGAAGAGAGGTAAGAGGACGAGATCTTAGGAACTTTACGGATTTCTCCGGAATTTGCAGAACCATGTCCGTGACGCGAATCACAAAAGCGCGATATTATTTTGTAGCGTCGTCAGTTAAACTATCGTCTCAATATTTATTGAATATTAGTCCCATGTTTATAATTTTTTTAAAATAAATTATTTTTAACATAATAAAAATAATTTTATTATAATAAAAATTTTTATTATAATCTTATTCTCTCTATATATATATATATATATATATATATTCATATGTTTAATATATATGTATCTCTAATTTTTTTAATGTATGTTAAATATAAATATACGAGCCGCTTTATATGCATTTGTTGCATTAAATTGAAAATAAAAGAGCATACTTTGAAAAGAATGACTTTTAATATTATGATTTAACATATAAAGACATAACTATTCTTCGAAAACACAACTATAAAAGATATATTTGCATTTCTTGCACCTAGTCACTTCATAAAGACGCGAAGTTCGCCGCAAAGTCGTCCTTTGGGTAGTTCGCAGATTTACGGAGATACAAGATCTTGAAGCACCCTGAGAAGCCACAATTAATGATACCGTTAATTTAATTAATGTTCGTTGTAAAAACCGCAGTCAGTTCTGTTTGCTCGACTTTATCTCATAACAAGAAAAAAACAAATATTGCTTAAGGCAAAAAATACGAATGAAATAATGCAATGAAGAATGCAGCGTTATTTGATTCTTCTTGATTTTAATTATATAACGACATGTAGTTTTAATATTGATTGCAAATTTATGTGTATAATATTATATGTATAATATAATATGTAACATTGTGTATATATATATATATATATATATATATATATATATATATATACACATAGTGTATATTGTGTGTGTGTGTGTGTGTGTGTGTGTATACACAATATTACATATATTATACATATATTTATCGTGAAGTAAAATTTATTTGCAATTACTTAGAAAAAATAATTTTCTTCTTGTTAGATTTCTATTATATTATATACAGAGTATTTGTAAAATAATGATAAATCTTTCGTATAAGGGCAGAATGACCTAAACTGAGAAAAGTCATCTACCTTTTTGTAATTTTTGTAATAGTTAACAAGATATTAATTGTTAAAAATTGGCGAAAATTGGTCTTCAATAATTTTTTTACTCAAATACTATTAATTTCACAGAAAAACTACAAAGGACACAAATTGTTTATTTTCTTCTCATACGAATCATAATCTTACGAATTTTTCTCAATATGAGAAAATACGATATTAAAAAATTCTAAAAAAAATCTTAAAAAATTCTTAGAGCTCTATGAGAAGAAAATAAACAATTTTTGTCTCTTGCAGTTTTTCTATAAAGTTGATAATATTTGAGTAAAAAATTATAGAAGACCAATTTTTGGCAATTTTTAGCAATTAATATCTTGTTAATTATTGTAAAAATTGCAAAATGGTAGAGGACTTTTCTTTTCAGTTTAGTCCATTCTGCCCCTATGCGAAAGATTTTATCATTATTTTACAAATACCCTGTATATAATAGAAGTATCTAACAAGAAGAAATTATTTTTTCTAAGTAATTGCAAATAAATTTTTACAAACATCTTGTATATGTATAATATACACATTGATATACGTATAATATACACATTGATATATTAGTGATAAAGCATGTATGTTTACTTTAATTATAAATAATAAAAACCTAATTACAGGAAGATTATTTTTTAAGTAATTCACATTGAAAAATTTAAATTTAAATTTAAATGCTGACAAAAATCTATTTTTAAATTATATAAATTCAAATAAATTTTATTTTATAATTTTTTAAAATAATGTTTAATTCCATTAACGAGCATATTGAATATTAAAATATTGTGAAAGAAAATATATGTGAAAGGAAAGAATCAATTTCAAGTAATAACAAAGAAAAATTATCATATTTTAGCAACGCAGTTATCATGAAACGTTGATTATTTCTACGAAATAATTTCGTACTAAATTGTAAATGCTGTTGTTTCATTCTAGACATTAACTTTTTGTATACTTAGACTTGTTTTGTACACCTATATATTGACATACCTATAATATTAATACTAGAATTAAATTACATCTATGTTAAAAACGTAGTGAAAATATAAAAGAACGACTTTCCTTTCGTTATATATTCTACAGATGATTATTTTTAAGAAATTATATAGCTTATCAAATCTACCGTTAATGTCTCTCTAAAATTCTGTTGTTCCGTTAATTTATCGTTTTATATTGGAATTACTTTATTATTTTACGCACTTTGTGAAACAAAATTGATTGAGCTGACCTATATATATGTCTTCTCTTCGTTCTCTTCAAGAATTACGAAGGGAACAAGATGGCAAAGTAGCGAGCTAATTCGTTTCCACGAAGGAAATTATGTGGCTTTGCATGCAGGTGCAGCGTACTCGCTGATTACTTCCGACTAATATAGTCCAACGTTTTTCCACGATATTTTCGAGTAATTTTAACGTTTGCGACATCCGTGTTGCTTAGCTACATGATTAATGGACTAATTTTCACACGTTATTTTAATAGTGGTTAGTATTTTGATGTTTCATCAAAAAAAGCAGCTGAAGAACACTATTAGTGGGAATCAAAGAATGATATGGATTTTAATTTATCAATTAGCTGTATGTAGTGTGCACAAAAAATTCAGCAAAACTAATCTTCCCACACATGCATTTTATTTTATTAATTTCATTGATTGTTATATTATATATAACTATACATATTGTTACTGTAACGAAAATGGATATAATAAAATTAATGTCATTTATCTGTCTAAAATTTTGATTGAATTAAGGAATAAAAATAACAATGGCTTCATGAGAATTAAATATAAAGATAAATATAAACATAAAACAAAAAATTTAAAAATTGTCTTCATAATTTCTGAGTTATAAGTATCCATGTAAAATGTAATGCGATTTCGTAATTTTATCTTAATATTTATACATAAATAAGACTGAAGATCATAGGAAAAGTATGAACTTATTATATTAAACATTACGAAAAATCGCTCATAAACTTCTAGCTATCTCTCTTTAACCAGAAAATTACTATAATTAAAAATGCGTACGTGCGTTCTCGTTAATGACTTTACAACGGAAACGGAGAGTAGACTGTTGTTCGACGAAAGCTGAGTGATATATTGCTTGTATCCTTCGTACTCTTCGTATACTCGCCACAAGTTTTTTTAAAGCAGCACATCCAAATCTGTCTACCGTTCTAAGTTTAAATTTAAATTTAATAAAATAAAATTTTGAAATTAAATTTTTTAAAATTAAATTTTAAAAAGGAACTAAAAATAAGATTTTAATCTGTATATGATTCTATACATGTGAATTTATTATAAAATATTTATATATATATATATTTATTTAAATATATATTTAAATTAAAATCTTTTTACAAAAAAAAATATTAATTTTTACATTAATTTCAGATCCAAAAAATTATCAAATTTTTAAAAAATAGAAAATATTTTATATTTCCTAGATTTTCTTCGTTAAAAAAAAACATCAAAAAATTTTCTTTATGAGCAGAAAAATAACAATTCGATAAATTGTCGTCTATGCTTGAGTAGATTGCAACTTTAGGTACGCTCTTGGATACATCGCGACCGATCTCAAAAGTTTAGCAGACTCCGGCGTCGGTGTTAACTCGACGGAGTTACGATACTAGACTAGAGAGGCTCGTATCTCGAGGTTTAATGGGATCGGGACAAAGTGGCCGCGGGAATTTCGCGGCAAAATAAAACGAGAGAGCGCGGCGCGAGGCGCGCAACTTTTAAAACTACGGTGGGAAATGTAATTTACCGTCGATGCGCACGGCCCGCGCGACAATTCCCCTGCTTTGTTCCTACGAGTTAATTACATGCAAACAATTAATTAACCGCGCGCCCATCGGCGTACCGTTTGTCTTCGCGAATACTCTGCCGAACTGCCCTTCACTACTTTAGATTATTTATCGCTGGTGATGTAACTAATTTTCGCGACAAGTTACTTCAACTAACTCGAGTGTAACTAATTTTCTCTCTCTTGCGCAGGTTTTGAAACAAAAATCTACAGGAGAACGCGAGAGTAAAGTGTACTAGCAGAGATAGCTTCGCAGTCATTTGAGATAATCAAAGTGAAAATTTTGCGTGCACTATCAAATTAGTTGTACAACACAATCAGCGAAAATTTCCTGTATGTCGAAACATATACCAACGAATTCCGTTTTAAATTCTGAATGATACAATTACACAATTATTTATTCACTATGACGCCGGCTTTCAGTACCGCATGTGGTACCGTCATAGATTATGTTCATAATAAAATTAATTTGTTCTATAGCCATAACATTCCATTTTTTAATTCTTTCCCGTGAAATAACTTTTTAATATAATTTCAGTATAAAATAAGATATTTTATTTATATTTATTTAAAACCGTATAAACTTTTATATTAAATAAGTACGTAATATCACAAAGTAATGTTATTGTCATATTGTAGTTTAATACACGGAAGATAAATAAAAGAAGATATAAATATATTTCTATAGCTCGTTTATCAAGTCTTTCAATTAAATCTTTTATCATATATCTCTCCATTTCAAAGTAAACATTTGTATCATTTTATTACAGCAAATTTATTTTTTCAATTCAAATGGATCTGGTTTTGTGCTTTATCCCTACAATATTACGATTTAAACGAGAATATATTGTAGAACTGCGAGAAATATTAATAAATAAAAAGCAGACAAATATAAAAATGTTAATTTGCTTACCGATTCTCCATTTTGCACTGGCCTTCTTGGGTCTTGCAGTTAGTTTTAAAATCCTTAAAGATCTGATTGCAAGGTTTCCCACGTAGACAAGTATTAAGCGCATGATTGCATGTCGGCAATGCGTCTATCGGATATGGATCTTTATCTGCAAAGATAATCATCGGAGAAAGTAAGTGAATGTTTTTTTCAAAGAGTTAATATTAATAAAATAAATAAAACAAAATTATTGGAACTATATTATTTCATTCTTGTTGTTCACCAAATGTTAAACAAGGATAAAATAATACATCACGAGCAATATATGCGCTTTACGTAACCTCAGCATTATTTTTAACAAGGAAATTATTTATGGTAAAAACATGCACAATTTTCTGTAAATTTATGAAGAATATAAGTTTAATAAAAATATAAACTGAAAAATAAAATTGGCAACAACACCGGCACACGTATAAAGTTCTTTATATATAATTCGTAAACAATTATGCTTTTCTAAAGAGTAGCACTCAAGGTTTTCGGTTTCCGCTCTCTTTAACCCGAGAGTAGTCACCCATTTTTTATATAAGACGTAAGCAATCACCCGACGTGTTTTAACTCTCTAAATAGAATTGTTATTATTATAACAACGCATTGTATATTATTAATTATTTTCATATTTATTAGTATTTAAGAATATTATAAATATGAATTTAACACAATTTTCTAAAAAAAAATAATAATAATAAGTAGTAAGAAGCCAAACAAATATTAAACGGAATAAGCAAGTTAAATAGCTTATTATAATAGTATTTAAAAAAAAAAATAGAAATTTTAAATAATACATGCGAGTTTTATGCGAATTTTTTAATACAATTGTATATTTAAATGTTTATAAAAAATATTTATTAAAAAGAAAAATTAATTATTAGGTGTTGGAATTAATTCGTAGCGTTTTACAAGTGATGGGAAGTACTTTCATTAATGTATTTTTTAATGCTCATGTGAAATAAATAACATTCTTTCATTAAAAAACGCTACGAATTAATTCCAACACCTAATATGTTAAACAATATCTGTACAAAATAATATTATAATCAATTCACTCTTTTACGCCGATGCAAATGGAGTGTAAAATACTCCAGATGACTCGGGTTAAATTCCTTTCACAACTTTCTACTTAAGAAGATCCTAAAATCGTTTTATCGATTCAATAGAATTTACACACATACGATTTAAATGTCATTGACACTATACATTATTACATCAATACTTATCACAAAATCTTTAACTTTACATAAAGAAATACGTGGGCTAACAAAACTAAAAGAAAATTCTTTTTCAAGAACATGTTATACTTCTCGAAATCTTCTTAAACGTTTCTAATCATATATATTAGATGAGAATGTACTAAAATACTAATCTTTTTAAAAATTTTCAAAATTGCTGGTCTTAAGCTTTTAAAATTTTAGAAATCTACCACTTGACTTGTATTACTTTACACATAACATACAGTTTAGCCCGCAGTTCGCGAGCTAATTTTTTTGCGGCCTTGCTTCCTACTTCCGCTTCTTTTTTTAATGGAACGAGAGCGAATTTAATCTCATTAAGTGCCGAAGCTTCCTGGTTTGGTAGCTGGCACCGGCTGCTCAGCGGGGTTTCCATTATCCGCCGCGCTTTCGTATGACCGGCTTTCGGCAAGATAAATGTAATTAAGCCGCGATCTGGAGTGGCTTAATTGCACAACTTATTACTTGGTCGAATTACATTTATGCGTGTTCACGATTTAGCTTGATCTATGTAACTCTCGATGATCAATCAAGATCAACTTTTTTTTTATTATAATTGATTTAACCGTCAGTAATTATAAGGACATTGGAAAGACAAAACATCAATTGCTTTATTATATTTTTGAAATCAATATTTCTTTGTCCAATTCTAAAATTTTATATCAATATTCTGAAAATTACAAAAATTACAGCAGATACTGAGCGGTGTTCTAGAGATAAAATAAAATATACGTTCTATATGATTCTACTAAACGGATTCTACTAAACTGGTTATACACATCCGAATTGTCAATTATTTATATAAGGAGGCAGGGTAGGTATGGGTGAGTGTAGGAAATGGGTATAAGTGGGGCGAGCGAGAAGACCTCGTTTCACGTGGAAAGTCATGTGCCCCTAGGCGGGAGAATTGGGGTGAACCTCGTTTTGTGAGAAAAGTCGCATTTCTCTATTCGGTTTGCCCCATACCTTTTCTGTCGAGAGTCGTCTCATTTTCCACTCAAAGTGGGGAAATAATTTTCAAGTTTGACTGTGTTAATAAGTTTTTAACGATTAACGAGGGATGGCTGGAATCTGTTGGATATTTTGAGATTAAGGTCATCGGAGTTTGTCTTCCAAGATCAAAATTTTTTACTGAAATTACACACTTTAACTCTAAATATTTAGTTGATAAGCCAAAGTTACTCAGGATCGTCCAAGTTGTGTAAGTTTTTGTAAAGAATTACCAATTTTTAAAATTAAAAAACATAAAAATTAATTTTTTAACAGTGGTACACGGAATTCGTTAATTTTCATTTGTTTCTTTTATTTTAGTTGAATCTATAACTAGAAGTACCATTCACATTTTCTGATAAAATTTGTATTGATGATTGAACAAATGAGAATCTAGTATTCACTGCAAAACAATAATATATTTAAGAAGTAGAATGTATTTTCGTTATATATTTCATATATTTTCATCAATAATTCTGTAGTAAAAATTTTTTTCTATTCTTTACATTATACACAAATCTTATTTAAAATTTTGCTTTAGTACATTCATTCGGATTATTATAATAAGAAAAAATTAGTAAAGACATTTATAGAATTAATTTTACATTACAATCTTCTTAAACGCAATTGATGTTTAATAAGATTAATTATATATTAAATAAAAAAAATCTCTTTTTTTCATCTTTAATTTTAGAGAGAATTTACATTAATACTTATATTATTATTATAAGTTAAATTAGAAGGCGGATTGATTTATTTTTATTAAAAAAGTACTATATTAACTAAATCAAAAAATCAATAACGCGACAAATATAAAGTGTAGCAGATTACTGATTCATCCCAGTGAACTCCAAAGTAACCCAACCATGGATATTAGAACTGCAAAGTGCTTTCCTGAAGACAACGATTCTCTCCGGGACGAGAAGTGGGTTGAAGATGCAAAAAAGTAATGGATAAGAAATGAAGTGAATGAAAAGAAGCGCATCGGGAATTATCTATGAATCATTTGGAAAAGCTCAAAAGACTCAGTGGCGCGCATGAGTGAGCCCTTGGGAATATCAACAATGAAGCCTGTAGGAGCAAAGTTACGTAGAATGGTGGGTGCGAAGATATCGTTCCGGGCTTTTGTTTCGTCAGTTCGCTTTAAAAAAAAAAACGCTCGAATGGCACCTACAATCGATTTGTTTCATTATTCTTTATTTTATTATTCTGAATTTTAAAAATCATGCAAGCTTAACAATATTGATATAAGTAATTTCTAAATACTTGCACTGTTAAATTCAAATTACATAATATGAGTCAATTTAATTTTAATAATTACTGTGTAAGTCGCCACTGCTCATGTATCCAATGCGTCATTAATTTAACTAACAAGTAACTTTATTTTTATTCGTCAATTTTATTAAAACTCGATACATTTGTAGAATAATCAAAAATAATAGGCATGTATTTTTTATATCGATAATGGGGCAATTTTAAAAGTAAAAATTACCCTGTATTTACAAATGAGTAATTAATCGTTCGCTTAAACTCAGGTATTAGAATTATTTTTGAGTTTCAGAGTTGAAATGACTAGAGGTTTTTATGCTGAAAATAAATTCAATGTAGAAATTATATACTTTAAAATAGCAGATCCAATATAGCGACCTAATACGGTCTTATCTTGTTCTTCGCACATCCTTTAATACAGGAATAATCAATAACTAAGTGGCAAGTATTTTTCCATTTCGTTTTTTGTCCTATTAAAAAAAAATTTTTTAGATTTATTCTTTCTTAATTGTGACATTTCTCGCGTCTCACATGAGCTTAAATACAACGTATTAATTAATTTATTGGACCTAACCTGAATAAACTAGGACATTCTTGAATAAAAAGTAATACAAAAATAGAATATCAATACTTAAAAGTAGGACAAAAAGGAGATTTATTTTAGGTTATATTTTAAGTTAAATTGTAGTACAAAATAAGTGGTATATTTGAATTCAAAAGTAGAAGAAAAAAAGTATACATTTAAAGATCCTAAAAACGATAAAAGCATGTATTTAATATTAGCAAAAAAACGACTTTAATAAAAATACTTAATAATTTTTAAGTATTCTATCACAGAAACATGATTAGCTTATTTTATATTTCACTTGCGACAGGCTTAATAGCTTCCGATTCTCTCTCACTATTTCTCTCAAAATGAGTACTAAAAGAAATACACGTCTTTCTCTGGACACCTTAAAAAATATACATTTCCATGAAAAATCAAACGTCACTAGGAATCGTTTGACTATGAATTGGATTAATTTGATGTGTCCGATTTTTTTATCAGTTTTATATTGAAATAATAATTTGGTCACATTTGATGAAAAATAACAAAAGGTTATTCATCTTAAGGACTTGATTTGATCTATTGATTAACGGTGAAAATTGCATGTATTCTGACTTCTTACTATTTCAAGCCGATTAGAAAAGAATTGGAAATATTGTTGAAAATATAATCAAACTGTCAATCTATTCTGTAACTGTCAATCTATTATGTATGCGTCAAAAAATTGTATAAACCATATACATGTATAATTGCAGATTAACTTTATTTCATCGCAGATATGGATTCTTACCTTTCCACTCCACATAGTCGCATGGGTGGTCGAATAGGAAGTTCTGGAAGCTGTTGCAGTCCGGATCGACATGTGGCTCCCTGCAGAGGCACGTCGGTCGAAAGAAAGTGAAAGCCTGCAGGGTGCGTAGAGCTGCCTGACACTTTTTCACCGTCACTGTTGAGCATGCCACTGTAACAGCGAAATTATTATTAAAGCGATGCAACAATGTTTCAGCCGGCTGACAAATAGCACGTGTGTATTTAACACGCGATATCGTGCACAAATTGCCTTGACAGTATGACATATAAGCTACATGACTAATAGCGTACCAAATATAAGTTGTTCTATTATTTGATAGAACATGTAAAATGCTTTAACCATTTGTTATTGAGCTCATACGCTACACTTATGCTTCTAAATTGGTACATATATGATGACCTTAAACCGCGAATGTGCGAGCGTGAAAAATCGACCATGGGATAACATATTCTCGCGCGGATATCATTTTTTTTGTGAGAGCGATCCTGCAGATTGTATGATCCTGCATTGTAAAACGTGATGACGTGGGATCTTCATGGAACGATTAATTTCTCTATCGATATCCATTCTCGTTCATTCCTATTTCGACATTGATCTGACCATTTTTGTACCGATAACAATCAAAAATCATAGAAACGCTGAAATAATTTGTTAAGCTGTTGACATTTTCGAAGGTTATATTGAAATAGAATTAACAAATAACACACACGCGTATAAAAAACGAGTGAAATAAATAAAAAATTATATGATACGATTAAATGAATGATTCGTTAAAGATTTTTTCAAGAGAATAAAGAAACTGCTTTATATATTATATAACATAAATATAAAATATTATTTATTATTAAATCTAGACTATGTAAAATATAATTAGAGAGAATTTAGTGAGTAATTACAAATATAAAATATATAGACATCAAAAATTTATATTTATAACATTTTTATCAAATATATATGCTTTGCATTATTAATTATCTACATAAAAATATAAATTATTATGTGACAATTCTAAATTATTACGTATAGATAAACGTAATAATGCGTCAAAGGAGAATATAAATGTTATATTAAAACTTAGAATTATCGATTATTTTCTGCATATGTATTCAATATTAGATTCAATATTAGATTCAATGTAATTGTGAAATTCGGACGAAAGTAGCTACGCATCTCAATGCTGTAATAAATGAATTTATCAACAATATCATATAGCGTGATGTAGGAGCAACAATTATTTGCCACAGTACACATTTGTACATTAATCGCGCCACAACTAGACGGTGACATTAATGTATGCCATTATTACGCAGCGTTCGTGCGCGGTATGATGCACTTAATATATTATCATAGTCAGTCGACATTCTTAACTTCAAAAGGTATATTATACTTATTCTTAGAGATACAAAATTTTTATTTGCAGTTACAAAATTAAAGTCGCTTATATTTCAACTGGGTATGTATAAGTTATTATAAAATTTGAATATTACAGAACTGTTTACAAGGTTAACGTTTGATCATATTATGGAGAGAGAGAAAAACTCTGTTAAAATAAAATCTTGACTTTACATATCTGCAATTACAATCTTTTCAACAGAAAAGTTTGCGAAAGAAAATTCATTATCTAATTACAAAATCTCTTGTCATTTAATTTAATTTAAAAGTTAATATAATGTATTCGATTGAATTAATTAATGTGCTAACAATTCCTACATGTGTACTCTTTCCTAATTAATTATTCGCAACACTTGGTTATTCATAATTATTCATCTCTGCATATTCATTATTTTTCCGTATAAGATTTTTTAATCTTCAGCTTTACGTTAATATAGCAATGATACGTGTCACTTTTTTATAAATATTGAATGATGTTTTATGATGCACCATTTTTCTCGGCGCGATCGAAATAATTTCGATGTCCTAAATATTTTCTTTTAAAAACCGTTCCCAGCTTCATTTCAGATTCCAGTGCTCGCAGCTTAATTAGTACAATGTCGTTTCGAGAAAGAATGGAAGTGAGAGGAGCCTTAATTGCTATCCCGAGACATCGTAAGTTTCGTAATAACTGAGCCAGACTATAAGTAATGAATCCAGATGTCGGCGTTACCGTTGATACCAACATCGTCGTCGTCGTCGCGCCAAATGTCAGACAGAAAAATGACGGAGCAGCAGCGCGAAAGTTTCAATTACATTCTGATACTATCATCTGTCGCTTCCCTCTTCAATTCATTCCGTCGGTTCCCCAATGTTCAACTTTATCCCAATCCGTCCCGCCCTTGCACCTACGTCCCTTCATTAAATATCAAGCAAGGCACTTAAAAGAGAATATCTTTGATAGTTTGGAACTTGCAGACAAAAAAGTTTCTGCAAGGAGTTTCAGAGGCTAATATTGTGACAGGAGAATAATCTCTTACTGGATCAACTGTTTCAAATTTTCTTGAAAAGAATACTAATTTACATCGGTCTTCTGGTAAGATAGATTATGTGATTTCCAACACGATGACTAAATTGGAAGATCAGAAACTGACAAATTTATTAATTTACATTTTAAAAAGCAAATAGCATCTTTCAGCAAATTTCCAATATAGAAATCAAATCAGGAGAGCAAAAAATATTTGAAAAAAATATTTCACAAAATTTACGAATAATTAGTCAAATAAAATATAATAGAAGATACAATAAAAAATATTAAGCTTTTATTAATAATAAAATTAATAATATTCAATTCAAATGGCAATTTATGATAGAATTAAAGATATCTTGTAGGAAAAAAATTATTTACAACAATAATACAATCTTATTGCATAAGTAGGTAATAAAAGTTTTAAGCATTTTATTACTTGTGACAAAAAATATATGAAGTCTCAAACTAATTTTCTGTTTCAAACTTTCTATCTTTTCATTAATTAGCAAACCATTAGTAGTTTCAAATGACTATTTTGATTTAAATTTTGATAAACTTGATAATTACTTTTCGTTACATTGGTTTCTCTTGATAGTTTCTTGAACAAGTCAATCTATTATATACAATAATTATATTAAATCAAATATTGTGTTATGCGAACTTTCTGTGTCGAATCGCGAGTAATATAATTTTACGAAAATGCAAAATTGCGTTGTATTAACGGCAATAAGATTAGTAACACTTGAAAGATATGTCATTTCTGTATGCAGCTGCAAATAGAAGTTGTTTAGAATATTCTCTGTGATTTAGTGCATTTATTATTTAATTTAATTTAGTTTATTGCAAAGCTATATAAAAAAGACATGTTAACAGAGTAATAGATACAAGATATGATACAATAGATTATAGTTAACATAAACATAATAGATAATAATAGCTTGCAAATGATTAAACATCAGCAAAATTACTGTTACAAAGCCTACCAGTAACAAAAGACAACAATGCAATAAGAGGTAAATCAATAGCAGAAATTATACACTCACTCACTCACACACACACACACACACACACACACACACACACACACACACACACACACACATACACGCGCATACATCCTCAAACACACCAATTACATCAGTCTCGTTTAAATATATTGAGTGACGCGATAAAACGCGAGTCAGCGGAACAAAAGGAGGACAGAGAGGGAGAGATTTAAGAGCTAATCTTTATTAAAAGCAGTTTTTTTTATCAAAATAGTGCATTCTTTGTATTTTTTATATGCATAATAAAGATTATACTTTAAATAAAAGAAATTTTAAAAATCAACGATTATAAATTTGTAATTAATAAAATATTTACAAATACTTTCATATGCGTGTATGTACCAATTTTCGAACAACCTTTATCTTCCAAAATCCGGACATAACTTGTCCTAATATTCGATCGCGATATAATCAGTTTGCTGATATTATATAATTAGGAACATATTTAAAAAACACAAATTATAATAAAATTAGTTATTTTATTTAAGGAAATTAATAAACAATATTTTCCTTTCGAATATATACTTAATTTTTATTTATCTATAAGCTTGCAAAGATGTAGATAACATTGGAACAACTCTAAATTTAGCTGATATGAATGATAGGACATTGAAACTATTTTTGAAAAGCGTTTAAAAGCAATACAAAAATCACTTGCTCTTACAGTAAAATGATTAAAGATTATATAAATCAAATATTTCATATGATATATGTACTTCAGTTCATCGCATTAAATTTTATTTAACTAAATATTATATGACTCAAAACTTTTGATATGTACAATATACACATAATATATCAATGATCTATTTAAAATATTCGTTTTAAGATTTATATTTATGAATATTTAATAACTGTTTCTTAAATAAATGATTGGAGATTAAGACATGTTCAGTCACTGGGACATTTATTTTACAATATAAGAGTATAATTGAAATTTGTCAAAATGAAAATTACCGTAATATGACTATAAATAGCTGCTACGCAAATAGCAACAAGCAGAATAAAATATGACAGACGAGAGAACTTTTCCAACAAATAATATTAATCCATTATACGAGTAGAAAGAAAATAAATGGTAAGAGTAATTAATAATAAAAAATTTAAATATAAGCTACGGTACATATTTAAAGAATTTAATAATTAGAAAATATTAAGAAAATTATTTTAAATTGCAGAAAGATATCCCTATATTTTGTATTTATTGACAAATTATCGAAAACAAATTGATTGATGATTGAATTGTTATGGTGATTTTTAATATAACTGCAAGTATTTAATTTTTTTGTTATTTGATGCTATTCTTATAGATTGCCAGAGAGTTTTCAGGAAATATACATTCATTACGCGAAAGTGTGTTACGCATACGCGCACAAATGTAAACAAAAAAGCCAGGACGGAGCAAACAAACTATCAGCTACTAGGAAAGTCGGAAAACAGACTTTTCATTCCCGTGCAGCGAGCGCGAGGAAATATGTACGAGAGTACAGCTTTGAATTCGGCGCTCGACTATCACTTGCAGACGCGTAACTGCATCTGTTTTTGACGCATTTGTGTTTTCGAACAGCTGTAATAATTGCAACCAAAATTCATCGCAATATTACATTGTTCATAATATTTAATTTTAACTTACTTGCTAATTGAACAAAAGTTATATGTTTTACAAACGCTATTGTAAAATTTACTTTATCAATACAGCAATACATCCACTGTTTTCCATGCTTACATTGCAACAAATAATAGAAAATGAATAATATAATAAATATCGAATATACGTATAGTAAATAATATTAAAATAAAATAAAGTAAAGAAGCTAATCACATACACAAACATTTAAAAACATGAATTTTTATAGAATATTATTTTTTTTTTTCAGTGTTATTAATAGGATATT